GATATCTTTTCATGAGATATTTCTCTCTCTTTGTTTGTGTGTGTGTGTGTTGAGGGTGGACAATATCATCTGTTTAGAATGGTTCACTTAAGGCGGATTTGGTACTGACAAACATTCTCTAACAGTGAATCATGGTGTCACATGACCCCGCCTACCCGCTCATGTTTTCCTCTTACTGCACGTACTGGTATTCCTGTTTCGTACCAGCTCTTCACTGTAACCATCAGATGAACCAGCACATAGCCACCACTTGGGTTGTGATACTAGCAACACACACCACTGTAGCCTATTGTTTGTGCGTGTAAAGACAAGTTGTTGAGGTTCTCACTTAAAACACAAAAGCCTGATGGCTATAGTCTCTAGTATTTGTTTTGTTCATAACATGGCAGTTTGTATTCTTCTCTTAGGATGCACAGCTGTACGTAGAGACAGTATTAAAACCCCCTGAGTCATAAAATTTAACTAACAAGGAATATCAGAATAAATTCATTGATATAAGAGCTATATGGAAAGACATATAGAAAATTTGTATATGGTACTTATTTGCTCTTGCTCTGCTGCCATAAAAAACTCAAATAAAACTTTATAATAATTAAAGGGCTACATTCATTTGTGGGCGGTGGCCAAATAAAAAAGAAGAAGATTAATTTGTATACCCTTCAAACGTTTATTCAGACAATGTCAACTCTCAGTATATAATGTAAATTCAGTTGATTGTTTTAGAGCTCTCTGAAGGACTCCAAGGTCACCATTACATTACACTTTGTAAGTTTTACTGGAGAAAAGGAAGAAAAAAAATTCTGAAAAAAACAAAAAAACAAAAAGGAAGGGCAGGGCTTTGTAAAGAGGGTGTGGCAAGCTCTATTTAAAGGTTTGAGTTCAGGCTTTCAACACCAATCCCTCTGTTCCTCCTTCTCGACTTTGAACACAAAACTTCAAACTTTTGGTAAGTGAAAATCCTTTGCATTTAATTAATCAAAATCATTTATATCTATGATGCATGAATTCACTTCTTGGTGTGGTTTAAGAATTTTGTGACATGCCAGGCAAGAGTAGAATTTTAATCTACTGTACAGTTTGTCAAACTATGAATCTACCAATTATTTTTTTTTATAACAATTATCATTTGAAAGCTATAATAGTCAGTTTGGTGCAAATTCAGTAAATTAAAGCTGCCTAGGTTATCATTTAAACAGCATATAAAACTATCTGAAGTTATTTTAAACGGGCTCAACAGACAATATGCTGAAATGTAGGATAGCAGCTGATGCCTTCAACTGTTTTACAAAAATGCAGACCAAACTACCAATATGGTTCTCTGTTGCACCGCTCAAACGTGATCATGTTAAAAACCACTGGTCACATGGAATGTCGTATTTCCCTCTGAGAGACAGAGAAAAGATGGAGGAAAGGAAAAGTGAATATAATCATTTTAGTCTACACTAACTCAAGCTATAGTCCCTCCAGACCTAAGTAGAAGTCCAGTCTGTGTGCTTAAATCTAGCATGACATATTACCACACCCAAAATGTACAATGAATCAAATGAATACATGAATAAATAAATAAATAAGCACTGGGTTACCTCCTCTGCAATATTTTCTCATTCCAGCCATCATGTCACAACTCATGAGTGCAGTGTGCACGATGAAAAAGGTTTTTGACCAATACGCGGGAAAAGATGGAGACCCTACTACTTTGTCCAAAAAAGAACTCGGTGATTTGCTCCGCGCTGAGCTTGGTTTTGAAGAGGTAAGTGGAAAAGATATAGTTCTATTGTAACACAAAGCCATGAATGCTTATTACCATATTTTTGAAATTCTACACATTTTTAAAACTGTTTCGCTCTCTCTTCCTTAAGAGTTCTGGAGGTAGTGAAGTAAACAAGTTTTTCGCAGCTCTGGATCACGACAAGAGTGGGACTGTCGATTGCACAGAGTACTGCACTTTTGTATGTACCCTTGCAATACTGATGATGGATACCAAGGGGGGCAAGGGCAAGTGCTGAATGTTCCAACTATGTTTGAGAAACTTCAAATGGGTTGGCTTTGTGTATTCCACTGATTGTCAGTATCACATGTGACTAATAAACAAAATAAAGTTACAATTCTTTAAAAATGTTGTTTTGTGTGTGCTTCTAAACAAAATACAGAACAGTGCAAAACCAGGCACCTGACACTCTACTAGGATGAATTGCCTTTAAGTATCTTTTAAAACATCATTATCTGTTTATAATGTACAGTGGTAGTTTCTTAGCTCATCATGCTTATCCCATAGTTACACGTACATTATCATGTCACTTTTTGGATGCTTACATAAAATATGCACAAAATACCTCTCCAGATAAGCACCTATGTTGAAGTATATGTTAATGCAGAGTTCAGATAATGCTCACTAGGTAGGTTAACCACTACATACATACACAGTATGTTCTTATTGTATGTGCCTGTAGTCTTCCCAATGCTGCCCCCTTGTGCTACCATTTTGTCCCCATCTAGGACAGTACACATACTAACTAGACTATGCACAGCGGCTTAATTACAGTTTTTCTCTGTTGCTTTGGTACATTTTTGGATTCATCCTTGATATTTGCTAAACAGTAAGAACATTTTTCAAAACAGTACCGCACACCTGCAAAACCACATCACCTGCTCAAAATCCTTAGTTCATCTCTCAAAAGTAAATACTTATGACAATGATCATGTCACTGCATCAGAATGACAAGTCTTAGGAACACGACATGTCGTGTTGTCCTATAACAGTGTACTCTGGAAGTATTCTCTGATGTCAGCTATGGCTCAGGTTTTGAGGACAGTGACTGAAAATGTACCAGGCTGCGCTCTTTCTGTATGGCATATATGGATTTCAGCAGCACAAAGTTTCAGATTGCTGTATGTAGGTGATTTATTGCAAAAGATTAGATATGATTCATATTTACTGTCAGTGTGAGACAAAGTGTTTTATAGCACTGCATAGCACAAAGGACAAAAGACAACATTAAACACCCCTTAGACAGAAAACAATGGTTTTTCTCCCTTTGACCAGCCTCAAGAAATCCTGGGTTACAGTCAGTTCTGATCACTGCTATGTTTATGACTTTCTAAAAGGCAGTACTTGTAGCGGTACTCCTTAGCCTTTAGTGCCGCTTTACGGTGCAGATTGGCTCTTACAGTACTGGTTGACTGTGAGCTTGTCTGAATTGTTGTGTGGCCTTCCCAGGAAGCCCAGCGATCCCAGTGACCCACATGGAACGCATCCGGGGGCGGTCTCGCGTATCATCGGACCTTGTCGGCCTTTTCCGGCGCATTTCGCTCAACCTAGCCAAGCTGATTAGCCTTTTACCACCAGCTAATGTTTGCGGGATATTTAATGTTAGCCGAATTGGAGTGAATGATACTAATAGTGTAGAAAAATGGCGGACGCCGATGGACAAGGAATATGTTCGTCGGTCCCTCCGTTGCCTCACTCTTCTTCTCGTAACGGCTCCGGTGACGGTAACATTACACCGGGAACCGG